CTTGATAACGGTTCTCAGAGGATCAGAACTACACGAAGGCCATCAAAAATGAGATACTGAGTAGCCCAAATATATCCTGGTCTCGGGGGGTGAAGGCATATGGACACCAGGCGAATCCAGCAACTGTTCCGAGGTCCTCCCGTTTAAAACACACGATGAGAACGCACGTGTGACCCTCGAGTGAGTAGTTCACGTCTTATGAAGAACTGCTATAGGCATAGTTCAGATAGCTTGAATACCTATTGAGCGATTCACGGTATTCGGAGTCATAACTGAGTGTGCCCATAACCCGGAACTTCGTTTCCGTAGAGGTAGACGTTGCTTGATAGATCACTATTCCAGCCATCAAGGCTGGATGGAAAAATTTCTCCATTGACGTTGCACGCGTCAAGGAAGAAGTGTTATTTTCTTAGACTAGTCCACTATCACCAAAAGGTTATGGACACAGATACGATAAATACATGATGGCAAGGGAGTTATGGGGCCGGAAAGGACCTCTAACTCTTGCAATATGTTGAAGAAAGCGGCTATAGAGAAACTCAAGTAATATCCTGCACTACTCATACTGTTACTGACAACCCCAACCGGCCTCACCGGTCTTGAGATTCATGGAGCAAAATTAGCCCCGCAGTTTCGAACAATTTTCAACTTGAACACTCAACGGTAGGCACATGGCCATGTGTACTCATTAGCACGTGTTCACGGGAGACCGAGAATGAATTCTAGATGAGTCTCTCATGTGTGACATTCCCCAACTGAATACACCACACGGAAGCTGTCTTATTTTTCAGTTGAAACGCTGTCGATAATTGACATGCTAATGTGGGACGTCACATATCGTGTTTATTTTACGCGTTTCTGGACAGAACTTATTAACGTTTCACACGTTTTCAACAAATATCCTCCGATTTCTTTGAACATCAATCATGGAAATTTCGGTAAGCAACGTGGTGGTCGGTTGAGTGACTGCATGGAAAATCAAAAATGTTCTACTCAGGAAAGAAAAAATGGCACAAGTCAAACTGGCCTCCTACTTAAGAAGCCGTCGTGCGATTAGTCAGTACAGCATATCACCTCATGTGGGCTGAGAGATGAGGATCCCACTACTGATAAGCTATTCGGAGTCGACAGGTACAAACATCATCCACGAACCGGAAGGCTATGGGTTTAAATGTGATAGCGGGCGTTTCTCAACAAGGCTTCAGCACGCGTAAAAAGATTTTCAGTTTTTTCAGCATCCAACGATTTCACAGGCTTTAGATTAAAGTGCCAAATTGTCCTGATTACCTATGAGTTGGAAAAGTGGAATGCACAGGCATCAGAAAGCGTTAGGCATTGACATGTGAGACATCTTGGGGAAATCCCAGAGGTTGGCATTGCATCCAGCTATCAAAGGCACAAAACTGGTCAAGCTCAGAATGGATGAGCCAGCAATAACCAGTGTGATTCTGGAACAACCAGACACGCGCAAAGAATGACTTGAATTCCCTGTTTGACGATTGCGCATAACAGCGGTGTCAGATGAACTAAAAAACTGTTCAGATGTAGCACCCTTTCGGTGCCTAACTGCCATGCCACCCAAAGGTTGCACGAGGGCTGGGATACTACCAAGTTGCCCAAACCTAGACAGGGGAAGTCGAGAGGCAGAGATCGGGTTCGAACCACGGTCAGTAAATTCGCGCTCTAACCACTTGGGCCATCTCGCGGTGTCAGATGAGGAGCTGACAATCCTGACCATATCTTCTAGAGAAACTCGAAGGATGAATAGGTACAGACGTGGGAGGTGTTTTCACTAATTGAAGGTCATGTGTACTCTTTCCGACATACATGTCAGATCCTCAAAACGGTTCTGACCGTGATGCACATGGTGTGAATTTATAAGAGATCATCATGGGAGGGGATCAAGAAGCCATCACACCTTGGTGTCCCCTCTTCGATAGAATTAATGTTGTTTTGTAGCCAAACTCTCGTGTCACATAACTTCAGGAAGAAGCTTAGTCGAAGAAGTAATTTGATGAAGGGAAATCCTAACCAACTAGATTACATTGTGGTTCATATTTGACAAAAGCAGGCGTGATTTAGGCAGAAGCACTACCAGTGAGCAGCAAGCCAAAGACAAGGCTGCAGTTAGACCTCCTAACAAACAATCTCCTATTTCAACTTGCCACTACAGTTAGGCTTTCTAACAAACAATCTCCTATTTCAACTTGCCAGACTGGTCAGGGAACTTGGTCACCTGGGAATGGTCACATGACTGCTACCGAAAATCTTCATACTACAAAAGGGAGATCCGTTAAAAACCAAACTGACGAGCACGGAGTTTGATAGGTGATAGCTAAAAAGATGACACTCTTTGTGTGGAATGAATTCTCCTCTGAAGTAGGAAAACTTGGTTACCAGTTCATTGAGATCGAGGTAACCACCGAGTGGGAGAGTCTAGTGTTCATACTATGCTTTCACTCTCAATAGGCTTACAGACCCTAGAGCGCAGAGTATCGACAATGAAATGAGTACAAACTGGAAACAAAATACTACTCATAAGGTTGCTGAAAACCCTTCACCTTGTGACTAGCTTGTTGTATCTTTAGTGAATTACGATAGTGGCGTATCGTACCAACCAAAACATAAGGCGGTCTGGTGTCGCACATTCGGTTGAGGAACTCACAAACGAGAGATTCAGTTGGGTCCCCCATGAAAACCAAATTGATATGCGAATAAGTGTATTTCGAAAAGTAGTCTAGTGTTCATACTATGCTTTCACTCTCAATAGGCTTACAGACCCTAGAGCGCAGAGTATCGACAATGAAATGAGTACAAACTGGAAACAAAATACTACTCATAAGGTTGCTGAAAACCCTTCACCTTGTGACTAGCTTGTTGTATCTTTAGTGAATTACGATAGTGGCGTATCGTACCAACTAAAACATGAGGCGGTCTGGTGCAACAGAATATCATAAACGCGAGATTCAGTTGGGTCTCCCATGAAAACCAAATTGATATGCAAATGAGTGTATTTCGATAAGTCCAAACCATAATTTTTAAAGTGGTGGGATCCCTGAATTTGATGAAATTGGCTTCAAACAAGTATTCAGGTCAAAGGGGCCGTATCGGGCGTTTCATTACCCGTCGAGACTCCGGTAGGGAGGGGGAAATTTGGATTAGTCATTGCCGAAATTAAAGGAGTTACAATCTGTGGACACCAGACTTAAAGCTGCGCATCGCAAAAAATCCCCATTCGTAACCCTGCGATGTGTTCGCATCAAAAACCACCACGTCGTAAACATCATGAGCTGCAATTCAAAAAGAAAATAACCATCGGCATTAATGCCTAGTTCCCATGACAGTGTCACGTAAGCAGATCAACTCGTTATAGACAGGCGTGACCGAACAAGCGTTATTAGTAAAACGGAAAACAATGAGGGTAGAAATGTATACTCATAAGTGATACACAGAATACTGTACAGTGTGTGGGTTTAGGGGCAGACACGTCCCGAAACAGGTTCAGGAATCAGAGATAAAAGTTGGCTTGGTTGGAGGGATGTGGTCAGTTGTTGTAGAACGTGATGCTGCAGATTTTCTGGCTGCAGCAACTAGAACGTTGATCAGATATTTATCTTTGAATGGCTCAGCGTTCGGACCGTACCCCGGTCCCTTAACTGAAGGCCACGGATTGCCATGCATTTCCAGTATACCAAATCCATTGTGATTAGCTGCCTGAGGCGAAGGGTAGTGGGGACGAGGTAACCGGTGCAGGCTGGTGTAAGCGCGATTGTAGAACCGATACCGAGGAACGAAGACCTGAGGACAGGATCGTTACCAATGAGTCAGAATCGAGTAAAAATAATGTAAAACGAAACCAACGATTATATATATATATATACATAAATATACATATATATATGA